GAAGTTGACCCAAGTAAACTCTTACATCAAAACTTAATTGATAAGGAAACTTTCAACTCAACTTTGTGCTAGGAGTTTTTAGTGACCTTAATTCATATCCAAATCATTCCCACACTAAAGAATTTACCTTTACAAATATGGGTAATTTATGAATCACCCAATATGAACCTACAAGTAAATGAAGAATGGTTTGAGTCCTAACTTAAAAAATTTCGGGTTGTTACATGATCATGTTGACAAAAGCTGGACGAATAATATATACATGAAAAGAATATGCTAGTAGGAAAGACTTACAAAAATATTGCAGATTTCAAGAAGTGCAACCATGCACAAGAGGAAGAAACTCTACTAAATTAAAAGTTAGAGAAAGTAGAAAAACAAAAAGAAAAAGAGTTGATGGGAAGGGCATCAACGAAAAGTGGAGAGAGAGTACTCCAACACCAAAAATAAAATTAAAAAAAAAACACAAAAAGAAAAAGAATTGATGAAAAGGGCATCAACGACAGTTGGAGATAGAGTGCTCCAACACCAAAAAGAAAAGGCGTTGGTGGGAAGGCCATCAACCTTGGAAGTTGGAGAGAAGTTCTCCAACACAACCAATAGAAAAAATATCTGAAAAACCAAAAAGAAAAGGCGTTGGTGAGAAGGACATCAACCTTGGAAGTTGGAGAGAAGTGCTCCAACACAACCAAGAGAAAAAAAGTTGTGAGTTGAAGAGAAAATGCTCCAACATTTGGTTGTGTTGGAGAGAAGGAAAAAATCCAAAAAGAAAAGGTGTTGGTGGGAAGGGCATCAACCTTGGAAGCTGAAGAGAAGTTCTCCAACACAACCAAGAGAAATAATATATATAAAAAAAAAGACGTTGGTGTGAAAGGCATCAACCTTGGAAGTTGGAGAGAAGCGCTCCAACCCAACGAAGAGAAAAAGTGTCGTGAATTGGAGAGAAAGTGCTCCAACACAACCAAGAAAAAAAAATATCGTGAGTTGAGAGGAAGTTCTCCAACACTTTGAAGTTGGAGAGAAGGTGCTCCAACACAACCAATTTTTTTTTTTGAGGATTGAAGAGAAGTACCCCAACAATTGAAAGATTGAAGAGAAGTACTACAACAATTAAAGATTGAAGAGAAGTACTCCGATACAACAACAATAACAAGAAGAAAAAGGCAATAGTATACAACTTTGAATTACAGGAGAATGTTGGAAATAATAATTCAAAGTTGGAGTAGGAATCCTAAGTTGATTAAGATTTGTTATTCATGGTATTTACTTATTTATGTTTAATTAGGATTTGTTAATTAGAATGGTTGATAGTCCTAGTTTAATTTGGTTTTTTCACTTTTATAAATAGGGATGTTACCGTTATTTTCAATACACATAACATACACAGAAACATGTAGAACTATTGAGTTTATAAATTAAATATTTTCCTTCAATTTATCCATATAAAATTAGACTTGAGTTGTTTAGTAAAGAGTTTCAACGACCTCGAGAAGAACCAAAGGTGAATGGACTTAATAAAGAGATTTCAAGACATAGTAAACGTCAAAGAACATCTACTTCCTTCGCATATGATTTTGTAATATTTCTTCTTGAAAATGAGCCTCAAACATTCAAAGAAGTTATGTTTTTGTAAACTCATTCTTTTGGAAATAGGCTGTCAATAATGAGATTTATTCAATCGCAATACATGGGAGTTGGTTGATCTTCTTCCAGGAAACAAACTTTTGGGTTCAAAATGGATAACAAAAGGTGTTCATTTTGGTCCTTCACCCTAAAACTAATAGATTTATTAAAATAATGTTAAATTTAAGTATGGACCCCACATGGCTTACAAAATTCACCATTTTTATATTTTTTGTTTGCTTCAAAGAAAAAACTCCATGAAATCTAACATAATCTTTTTCTACTTTCTCTAATGAAATTGATTATTTTCTCTAACAAAACCTAACATTATTATTTTCTCTTTCCATGAGATCTTTCTTTGTAGCTAAGAAAGAAGACAATAATGATTGATAAATCTGTTAGATTTAGAGTAAATGATCAAAATGAGCACCTTTAGTTATACATTAAGGACCATTTCAATTAAGAGAAATATATTATGGACCAAAAAAGCATCAAGCATACAAATTACCTAGGGTTACATATTGTTAGATATAGTTAGTACTTACTCATAAAATAGAAGATTCATTGTTCTTAGTTTTTATAGGGTTTACTTAAAGTTTTAATAGATTATTGTACGAGCATGATTCTCTTGAAAGAGCTACATTAATCAAATGTTTTGTTTACTTTCTCTTATATTCTTGTTCTATAGTAGTTTTAATTATTATAGTTATTGTTTACTGCTAGTTATGAGTAGCTAAACACATAACTTGGATAATGGAGCTTAGAGTAGGAATGAAGATAATAAATTATTTTAAAATAAATATCTTCTAAAGGAGGTGTGATCATTGTGTACTAAATTTCTTTCATAGAGATTGCTTTTTTTTAGTTGCAAACATTAAGAACTAGCTTGTATTCCAATGGGAAAAGGGTCAAAAATACCCCTCAATTTTGTTTTATTGGTTGACTATGCCCTTACCGTTAAAATGAAGTTATTCTAACCCCTGCCGTTACTAATTTCATTATTTGTAACCCTCAATTGGATGGAAAGCCCCAAATTGACCAAAATTATCCAATTTCAATTGAAATTACTCAATTTCATCTTTTTGACCCAAATTCGAATCCAACCCAAACAAAACACATGACAAATTAAATCCCAAAATCAATTTCTTCTTCATCTTCTTCCTCCCTGAATAAAAAAAATATTTTCATCTCTTTGCTCCATAAAAACTTCATACATTTGCAACATCATATATTCTCGTGGATTCATCAGCTTGTCGATTCAATTTTCTTACTTTAACATAATTTTCTTACTTTAACAGAATGAGAGATGAAGAAGATACACCCAATAGTAATCAAGTATGCCTAGAGGAAATTTCACTCTCCCAACACGACACATATCATAAATAAACCCATGCCTCATAATTACGCCTGCAAAAAACGCAAGTTAAATTGGACTCTTGAACTGTGGAAATAGACAAATTACAACTCCCAATATTAAGTCGTCATAAGTCTTTGCAATTACATACACATACATGCTTCCAAGGGGATCACCATACCCGACTGATCATACCCTCACATTGAAAATTCTAAATTGCTAGCTAACATAAATATTTAACTCTAGAGGAAAGAGCACAACTTATCTACAATCCATTGAGTTCTTGCGATTTGGGTTCTCATAGGAGATGGGTTTTGGGAGAAGATAATGGGTGTTTTGAGATGGAGGTGAAATAGGTTTGGGTTAAGTTAGTTGGGTCGGGTTTGGGTTAAAATAGATAATTGGGCAATTTCAATTGAAAACGGGTTAATTTGGGTCGATTTAGGGATTTTCGTCAATTGAGGGGTACAAATGATGAAATTAGTAACAGTAGAGGTAAGAATAACTTTGTTTTAACAGTAAGGGTATAGTCAACCAATAAAACAAAGTTGAGGGGTATTTTTGATCCTTTTCCCTATTCCAATTCGCTTGACAAAATAAATTAAGACTTGGAAAAAATCATTAACAAAGATTTGGTGCTACCATTCACTGTCTAATAATTTGAGCTCGAGAGAGGATAATTAACCTAAGACTTTTGATGAATGAACAAATTAATTAAACACCTCAAGTACCGACAAAGACTTAGGGTGATATTCTCTTAATTGTTCTAGGAGGCTTTAATAGACTTATAGATTCGTCAGATTTGCGTAGTGAAGACACCTGAGTGAGTTCATAGTAAAGTATTTCTTTCAGTTCAACTCTAGAACCGTAAGCCTAGTTTGTCTTTATTTTTGATAATAATCCAAGTAGTTATAACTAATTCGAATTTTAATAAAAAATTATAGAGAACTCTAGTATGATCTCTATGGGATTCAACCTCAATCTAGTTGGGTTACTGCATTTTGAAATTGACCGCTTTATTACCCTAAAAATTATGTAGTTTGGAAGACATCAGACCACAACATCAGAAGCCTCAAATGTCTCTTTGTGAGTCAAACTATAGAGTGGAGCTTCATCCCATTATTAGTATTAGTAGCATTATTACCACCATTAGTGTTACGAGAATTTTGTGTGGGATTGGCATTACTAGAAGGTTGATTAATCATTTCTCTGACTATAAAGGCAAGCCAACTCTTTCTACCATTTGTTTCTGTCTTAATTAATGTGCCCCTTTATCCCACAATGATTTCAACTCGATTCTATAAGTTATTGGATTTATAAAGCCTTTGATTGCATTTTGATAAGGCGTAGTCTAATTGTTATGATTCTTACCTAGCCTAACTGATAAAATGATTAGTGTGATAAGTGTGTACAATGTGATTATCATCACAGTGTCTAAGAAATCTATACTAAAATCAGAAACTATACAACTGTTATATGGTTGGGATAGGGCCCCCACATTCATATTGATTTTTACTTAATATATTTAGAAATACTTTATTTTAAAAATCTATATTACTTTTAATGTGATTATTTATTGCCACATAATGTCAAATCTATATTATTTTAAAAATAAGTTTTAAAAAACATTCGTTTTCAAAATATAGTGCCCACTCAAATAATGCTACTAAATGGAGAGGGTATTTAATTTCATTCAATCGAGGAAAAGTAATTTAGTTAGTAGCTGGAGCTCATTTGATCATAAAATAACATCTAAGGACAAAATTATCACCTAGAATTAGTTGAATAAATTAAATAATGATATAAATGAATATCAAACAAAAGCACTTGATTCACACATAAGTTGTCTTTTAATGTATCTAGAAAGTAAATTCAAAGAAACATAAATGTAAATACACCATGCATTTTGAAGAAGAACATATTAATTATAATTCAAAATACGAGTTCTACTTCAAAATTGATACATATTAATAGCGTTTATTGTTTTAGAGAAGAACCACCACCTCTTCCAAATCCTCCGCCTATGCCTTGTCCACCAATTCCAAACCCTCCTCCACCACCACCAGCAACAGCAGCAGCGTTGCCTCCCGGCAATCCGTTTATTCCATTTCCAACACCACCTCCAATACCTCCTCCTATTCCTCCCCCACTTCCTCCTCCTAGTCCTCCTCCTATTCCTCATCCCACTCCTCCTATAGGTATTATTCCAGGAATAATACCAGGTACACCTCCTATCAAAGGTATACCTGGAATATTGCCAGGTCCTCCTAACAAAGGTATTCCTGGAAGACCACCATATCCAAGTCCAGGTATCCCAGTTAAAGGTATATAAGGAATACCACCATATGCAGGTCCAGCGTCTCCACCTACCGAAGGTCCAACGGGGACATCACCCGGTCCTTGACCTGGTACTCCTCTTATTGAAGGTACACCCGGAATGCTGCCAGGTACTCCTCCTATTGAAGGTATGCCCGGAATGCTGCCAGGTACTCCTCCTATTGAAGGTATGCCCGGAATGCTGCCAGGTACTCCTCATGTTGAAGGTATGCCCGGAATGGTGCCAGGTACTCCTCCTGTTGAAGGTATGCCCGGAATGGTGCCAGGTACTCCTCCTGTTGAAGGTATGCCCGGAATGCTGCCAGGTAGTCCTCCTATTGAAGGTATGCCCGGAATGCTGCCAGGTAGTCCTCCTATTGAAGGTATGCCCGGAATGCTGCCAGGTAGTCCTCCTATTGAAGGTATACCCAGAATGTTGTCAGGTACTCCTCCTATTGAAGGTATACCCGGAATGTTGCCAGGTACTCCAACGAGTAAAGGTATACCAGGAAGACCACCATATCCTAGTCCAGGTCCTCTAATTAATGGTACACCACCATTCTTTTGACTAGACAATGTTTTCACTCCATTTGTCAGTGCATCACTCTCTGCCAATTGCCTACCTAATATGCTCCCAACTAAAAATATGGTTAAAACCAATATCAAAATGCCTTTCTCCCTCATTTTATTCTCTAAAATTAACCTCAACCATTTCAAATTGTTGCTGAACCTCATGCCATTTTATAGGTGGTAGAACATGAAATTATATAATTAATAACATCATATCTACTCCTAAGCTAATTCTAACTTTTAATTTATTTTATTTATTGTGGAAAAGAGAAAAGCACATCGGTCAACACCTTAAATTATTAAGCAATGAACTTTTTAATTCAACTCCTATTTAGTCAATTTTGTAAAACATGAATGAAATTATCTAATTAATAAGGGCATATCTACTATTAATGAACTAATTCTACGTTTTATATATTTTTAAATGTTTGAAACTTATAGAAGAAATTGAAAGTAGGACAACATCAAATTAATAAATTTGAGTCAAATCAAGAAAAGAAATCAAACTAAATTAGAAATAAGGTCAACATTTTTTAATGGGGGGAAGAGATGCAATTTTCTAATGTATTTAGGTAGGATTAATGTGTTACACAATGAAGAACAATTCATAAAAAAAGAATGGAAGTCAAATCATGAGTGATTACAGGACGTTACAAAAGTAACTGAAGATTAGAAAACATTGCAAAAGTGGTTCAAGATTATTTATTATAAAATAATATTGGCACTGATATTTTTGTATTATTAGAGATGACAAGTGTAGAGTTAATCTATGGTTCAAAATGTTTTTCAATTTCTTTGGTTGACTTAAATGTTTGGAAATATTTTTCAAATCAACTCATTTTCCTCAAATTTAAGGAAAATGACTTTCCTTCCATTATTTTTTTAAAATATGTATTTCCTCAAAAAAAATAAAAATCCTCTAGTTTTTCTTTTTAAAACGATATATTTTCCTCAATATTTTTAAAAAGATATATTTTCCTCAATATTTAAAAAAAATATATTTCCTCAAAAAATATGATTTATTTTTAAATTTTGTTATTTTTTCAATTCCAAATATATATTTATCCCTACTCGGCTACCCCCAATCATCCCCCCCCCCCTCTCAAACAAAAAAAATAAAAAAATTTAAAATTATTTTTGAAAAATGTTTCGAATTTTAATTTTTTTTACCTCACCCAACCCCTACCACCCCTATCCTCTACCCCCTACCCCACCCCAAAAAAAATATTTTTGAAAAATATTTCAAAATTAATTTTTTAAATAAAATTTTTGGCATCTCTGTACTTAGAACTTCGAGAAGATCAACAGTGTCGAACAACATAAACAGATCTGTGGATTGAGCTCATCCACGTCACCCCTCAATCCAGCAACAACGGCTCTCAAAGCCGTAACATCAGCGGACTGGCGACCTCCCTGCTCACATGCCTCAACTCGCACCGTGAGGGCGTCCAAGGCTAGGCCATGTGCGGTGATCAACTCTCAGTTCTCTCGCAACTCAGCTCAGATAGGGGCTAGGGCAACAACAATGGCCAGCTCAATCAGTCTGGGGACAGTTGCCTCGACCCAAGAAACACGTACATCAGCAGATTGGGCTAGATAGCCCATCTTGTAAAGCATCGCATGTGTCAACAGGGGGTGGGAGGTGGCAACAACAACTGTAGTGGTAGTAGCAGACAAAGATGGAGCAGTAGTAGTAGTACTAGGGGGTACCTGAAGGCTCATTAGCATGAGTGGGAAGATATGTATCTCCCTCTAGCATATCTACATCGACAGCCGGGGATGTGTCCACTGGCACTGCTTTCCTCCGCTCAGCCTCGTCCCTGGTGTACTTGGCCTCAATCCTCCAGATGTTAGTAAAGGAAGTGAAAGTCACTTCCATATCTGTCTTCGCCACAAAGGGCACTCGAGCACGCCAACACAACTCCATGAACAACACCGAGAAAGGGAGCGATGTCTGGCTCTGCTTGGCCCTCAATTGCATCTTCTGCTCAATGATCAGCTCGAGATTCAGTCTATCTCGATCAATAATAGAACCCCGCAAAGCTGCTTTCAAATGCCAGAGTATGGACTAATTCTAGGAAGGCATCAATGTGCTGCTAAATGAATCTGAACCAATACCACGCAGCCACATTCAAGTTCTTCTTCTCAATATGGACCCCTGACTCAATCCACTGTGGTATTATGTCGGAAATCAAAGGGGCAGTCACCACTTAAGGTCTTCTAAGGTCTTCTTCTGAATTTTATCCGCCAAGAAGTGTTTTATATTGACGGTGTACCCCAATACCTCATTAATGTACGAACTGCCGCACTTCACCCTCTTTCCTCGGACTACCACATAGTTAACAGGTGTAAACGATTTGGCTTTCTTATTGCCCTTCGGGACCTGCTTCCCATACTCAGTGTAGAACTCCTCAACCTAAGAAGGTATGTATGAGCCTCGGGGTTGTGTGAATCACTCGAATTTATGGAACCTAATGGTGTCCCATACATCTGGATATCTGCCCACTACCCCATTAGTGGACAACCTCTTCTCTTCTAAAATGGTGCGCAACCTGGCAGCTTCCAATCTATTCATTGAATGAGGTGGAAGTGCCTGTACCGGGGGCACTGGTTGTGCCTGCTCAGTAGTATGCGCTGGAGGTGGAGGAGGTGGAGGAGTGACCGGAAGTCTGGCTAGATCATGTAGCACTTTGGAGAGCAACTCAACTCGTCTCTGCTGAAGAGTTTGGTCATCCTCTGGCTCTGATGCAAAAGCCGGCGATCTAGGCCCCAAATTGTCCTCACGATCCGATTCTGAAGTAGTGAGGTGGGTTTCGTTGATGCCCATGCCGTCGGAGGTGGAATTAGTTGGACTCGGCTTCGCAAGACCTTTTCTTTATCTGTGTCCTTCCCTCAGTTAGAGGAAGTCTAGGTCGTGTTGATCGTGGATGGGCAGCCTCCTCAGAAATAATCACTCCACGTTCTCTCTTTCGGGGTGGTTGGTTCCTTCCGGGGAGTTTAGGTCTGGCCATATCTACAAAACACCACATATCGAACAAATGTATTAGAAATAGGTCAGCGAACTATCATTTTTTAAAACTTTACGGAAAAATTCACCGACCATTCGGTGAGTCCTAAAGGGCTCGCCAAAAGTTACAAAACCAAAATGAACTAGGATCAACACAAGTCGGCGAGGTCCAGGGTCAATCGGCAAGTCGCCGAACTCGATCGGCAAAATAAAGGGTAGCTTGCCGAATCTAACAAAATGAATTTCAATAAAATTGGGTTGACAATGGGTGATTAAAAAGGGCATTTGGCGAGCACATACATATTGCCGAATGTTACATAGGCTAAAAGCTAAAATATCAGGGCGAAATGGCGAAATGACTAAGCTCGCCGAACAGCCTCTTGTGCCTGATTTCTACCCCGACTTCCAATTTTCAATCGCAACCTACGAGAACAAAATTAAAGCCCTATTCTATGCAATTAACACCTAGCCCATATCACTACCAACCCCGGGGTACTCAGACTTCCCCCATTTTATCAAAAATTGACCAATCAACGTCTTTTGCCCTTAAGAATAACGTCACCCGCTCTATCATTGGGCAAATTCAGTTGATCGATACCATTCGGGTTACTCAGACTTCACCCACACTAGACCCAACATAGTACAACCACACACACATAATTTTAAGCACTTTAAACACGAAATTCAAAATATAGGGGCTAAACACAAAATTTAACACAATAATACAGTAGCCCACAATTCAAAATCGACCAAATTCACAAGATCATGTAATAGATCTAACAATAATACGAGCATGCATAGCAAATGGCTAGAAATTTAATCAAGTTCGGGATACCAACCTCAAAATAGACAGACACAAAAATTCATGCGAGCAAATATGAGGGCAAAAGAAAATTTCCACCAAGCAATGATACCCACGCGAAAATATCAAGTAAAATATAATCTAAATTGTAAATGTAAGAGTGCAAGAGTTGAAAAAGGAAAAATAAAAGGGAATTTTGAATTTAAAATAGTTAGAATCCTTTTTCACCCTTCAGTTCGCGCCCCAGTCGGTGGTATCCACTTATGTCGCTGACCCATTTAGTGATTCACCGAATGATACTTTTGACTGCCGTAGTTACTAGAACTCCAACCCTTTGGTTGGTCAAAAAGGCGATCTATATCGGGCTTGTCGACCCTTTCGGTGATTTGCCGAATGGTACCTGAGTTTGCCCATTTACCCCTTTTTCCCAAATTTTAAATTTTCAACTTGCACATCTAACAACCGTTATTCAAACAAGAAATATAAAAACTAAAACTTGGGTTGTCTCCCAAGAAGCTCCTTATTTAATGTCATGGCATGACGAAGACACGTTTTCAAGCTTCATTCTTTGGTCAACCATGGTATCACTCGGTAAACCTCCATTTGGTCTTGGATTTAAATTAGTTGACATTTGACCCATCTGTGTTTCCTGCTTAATAGATATAGAATGTGAAGTAACTATTTGGTTTAGAGAAGAGACATCATCTTTCATTTCCTTTAGCACCTTGTCTGATCCTTCCACTTTGTTGAGAATGCGAGCAAACATATCTTCGGTGCAGAAATTTTTAAGGTTAGCCCTTGTCTCTTTTGGCATTTGACGCTCAAGAGGAGGTACACATCTTTCTTTATCGCTATCTCGCTCTCTTTAATTCGTACAACGATCACGCCATTCCCTATCTCGGTACCTCCAACCGTCATCGCGATCCATGTTCCAACCTTGATTTCTTCCCGGCCTTGGATAGTTCGGACGAGAACCACCTGCCTGATTTGCCAAGAAATGTACTTTTTCATTGTACATTGCCTCAAAATGTGCTTCATCAAGATTCACTCCACTAACTCCAACTGCATTCACAACCTTGGAACCACTTCCCATTACATGTTTCGTCAGTAGGTCTATTTGGGTCATCATCTTGGCTATGTTTTCATCTCGCTCTTAGTTCTTTTCCAATTGCTCATTTTCCATCCCGAA